CTGAGCAAATGCAAGATGAGCTCATGCGATATTGTATCAAATGCCTTACGGTAATCGATCCAGGCCATAGAGAGGTTGCGCTTATATTGTATAGAGTCCTGCGTTATTATTATTATTATTATAAAGGTCGTTTCAAAAATGTTGTCCGTTTTTATGAGTCTACTTTATCTCAGTGAATACTTATTCAATTTAATTGAAATAAGCGCTATTTAAATCAGTGCACTTTGTGCTCGAGATTCAATGAGGTAGACGAAGGCCGTTTTTGCATGGTTCTGATTGGCGAAGGTTCTACCGGTGAGAATGTTATCGAAGTTGGTTGGTGAGAGGTCTGAGGAGTATGGTGGGTGAGGCAGAATTTCGACGCTCTATTAGTTTAATTTTCGGACGGTGATTTGTTGAACGTGCGGACGGGCGTTGTCGGGGAGCAGGATCGGACCTCTTCTGTTGACCAGTGCCAGCTGCTGCTTACTCAATTTTCAATACATTTCGTCGATTTTGTCCTCTGCTGTGATGGTTTGGCCAGTTGCAGAAAGTTATAGTGTATCACACCAGCCGCTAACCACCATACAATAACCATAGTCTTTTTTTGGTAGGTTTTCGCCTTTGGGAAGTGCCTGGGTGGCTTATTGGTGTTCAATATGTTCAATAAATGTATCCTGTTGTGATAGAGGATCCACTTTTCACCACACGTGGCGATCCGATCCAAAAATTGATCGTTTTAGTTACGCAAAAGCAAAGAAGAACAGACCTCGAAACGTGACAATTCATGACGATCGTACAAATCATGGGGCACCCACTTTTCGAACTTTTTGGCCTTTCCAATACGTTTTAAACCATCAAAAACCGCATTAGAGCTGTTACGATCTTCCTCCTTCCCACCAGGGTCCTCAAATCATTGGCCGAAAATCGCTCAACGACATCATATAGTAATAGAACAAATTTCCTGGTGACAAAATCACAGTTCAATTGTTATTGCAACAGAGTGAAATACTATTGAGAAATGTCGTCAATATATAAATTGAATTACTTAAGTGAGGTGATAGGTGTAAGTTAAAAAGCATAGTACACGAAACAAACAATATAAATAATTTTGAAAATGTTTCAAGTGCAAGCACACTCATTGCATAACAATTTTATCTAATTAAAATATGATTGAAATGTCTGTAA